TCAAAAAACAGAAGTAATATTTGAAGCTTTGAAGACAGCCTTTGTTTCTGCACAAATCTTGTATAGTGTCGATTTTTCTTATATAGCCATTTTTTATGGAAATAGACGCATCAGACTTTACTTAGGGTGTCGTATTGTCATAAATGAAAACAGATGATAAACTTCATCCAAAAGCTTTTCATTCCAGAAAATTTTTAACAACCGAGATCAACTATAAGATCCACGTCAAAGCACTTCTTCCAATCATGGATTTGTTTCAAGAATAGTGCCATTATCTAGAAGGTGCTTCTAACCCAGTCGCAATGTATACAGATCACAAGAACCTTGAATATTTTATGTCAGCACGTGTTTTGAATTGTCGCCAAGCCCGTTAGAGTATGTCTTTATTAAGATCCAAATTTAAGATCACTTATTGATTAGAAAAAAAACAAGGTTTGTCAAATGTACTTTCTAGACAATCTTACCTTGCACCAAAGGATGGAGATGGTACTTTTGATCAACAACAAATAATTCTCTTGAAGCGAGAGCATCTTCATGTTTGAGCAATGAAATCAACACTAAGTGTTGATTCAACTTTCATCAAGAAAGTTTGGTCAAGTATGTCTTCTGATCCTCTTATTCATGATATTAAGGGAAATCCTTCAAAGTCTAATGATACTTTCAAGTTTGAATTCAAAAACAATCTACTATATTTTAAAAGACGCCTATATGTTCCAAAAGGTGAAGCTCAATTACGTGTTCTTCAAGTTTGTCATGACTTTCCAGCAGCAGGACATTTTGGATACAATAAAACTTTGGAAGTAATATCCAAGGACTTTTGGTGGCCTCAAATGTGGAAAGCAGTCAAAGATTTTGTACAATCTTGTGATATTTGCTCGAGATCAAAAACTCTTTGTCATTGACCTTACGGACTTCTTCAACCATCATTCATTCCAAAACAACCATGGTCTTCTATTTCTAAGGATTTCATCACGGATCTTCCAATCTCAAGTTCTTATGACTCTATATTTGATATATTATATCATATATTCATGATAGTAGAAGATATTATATCAGATATGAGAACTCAATTTGTATCAAGATTTTGGCGGACTCTTTTTAAGATTCTAAAAGTGGATATAAAACTATCTTCAGTATTCCATCCTCAAACTAATGGACAAATGAAGCGTATTAATTAAGTTTTGGAGCAGTATTTAAGATGTAGTATTAACTACCAACAAGATGATTGGACAACTCTTTTGCCATTAGCAGAGTTTACTTACAATAATACAGTATATTCTTCTACAAAACAAACACCTTTCTTTATTAATTATGGTTATCATCCATGATTTGCTATTTTTGACTTTTCAAAAGTTGATAATCCTGTTGCAAAAGATTTGACAATTCATTTGTCAAAGCTACATGCAACGATGAAGTCGTAGTTAAGAAAAGCTCAAGAACAACAAAAGGTCAATGCAAATGTCTATCGAAAGGAACAACCACCATTCCACATGGATGATAAGGTGTGGTTACTTTGTGGCAATATCAAGACCACTCATCCTTGTGACAAATTGGACTATCGAAGGCTTGGATCATTTTTTATTTCTGCACAAATCAATCCAGTTGTATATTGTTTATACCTACCATAGTCAATAAAAATCCATCCAGTATTCCACGTGTCTTTTCTTGAATCATACAAGACTATGGACATACCAAGAAGAAGACAAGCTCCACCTCTTTCTATAGAAGAGGATAATAATGAAGAGTTTGAAGTGGAAGAAGTCTTAGATTCAAGGTGGCACCAAAATAAATTAGAATATCTTATCCATTGGCACAGATATGATATTAATAAACGCACAAGGAAGCCAGTAAAGAATCTTACAAATGTAGCAAAGGTGGTGGAGGCTTTTCATCAACAACATCTATCAAAATCAAGATGAAAACCTTCCTTATAAAAGAAACAAGATCTAAGCAAGATAACATTCTACTTTCAATCCTTATTTGTAGCTTCTTTATAGTTGTGACACTCAAGAGATAGAGAACCAACAACTAGCGGATTTGACTCAAGAACCTTTATTTGCTGACCTATTGGATAAGACATTACGATTGTTACAACCTTCAAGATGATACAATCGAGATGAAGATCTTCAAGAACGACATGTTCTTCCTCGAATAGATGGTGGGATACAACGCGTTTGGTATCACGACCTTGGAAGGGACTCCCGATGTTTGGTGATTTTGTTAGAGGTAGGAACAATTCCTGACGTTGTTCCAAATGTTTTATTCGAAGGAAGTTATGAAGGGCTCAACGACAATCAAATAATTGGGTGGTCTTTCCACCCTAGTATGGGACACTACCGATGGTTGAGAGGCCCTATCAATCATCTTCGAAGAGAAAAAAAATCAAAGTATGTGGCAAATACAATTCATCGCATCATAGATTTTTTCAACATATGATGACCATTCCTCGTGGAACTCGTCCCTAGAAGGGAGGGTAATGTCATGGACATATGCATGTAAGCCTGTAATTACATATATAAATAGGTAGAAGTAAGTAAAAGTAGATAAAAGTATGTTAATTCTATAACATTTGCTATGAAAGCTTCTTAGAAGCTTTATAGATGATGCTTTGACTTTATAGGTGACTTTAATTGACTTTTTGGATTAGAAACGTGGTCAACAAGTTGGCCATGTACCACACATGTTGTTAGTTTGAAGACCAAGCTAACAATGTGGTCCATACGTAGAAAAACTTGCCTTGTATGTCAAGGCATGTGTCCTACAAAGTCAACACATATTGGAGGTCCTATAGAACATCGCCACATAACCTCTAGTTAGATAGTATATGTAGAGACAAGAGTGAAGCCTTCTTCACTCTTGTCAACTCCTTTCTTGCTTCTAGTCTAGTTTCAAGGGTCTCTAGTTTTCTTGGCTTTTAGCAATAGCCATTCCAGTTTCTTTTTTAATATACACATCTAATTATTTCTATTTTGTCATCTTTCTTTGAAAGAAGTCTCACTTATTTATTTTTTTTTATCATGTTCTTGTCCTTGACAATATACTATCTAACTCGGAATTACATAACAATATTTTATAGAACCTTTAATATGTATCTAACTTGTAAGATAAGTTTCTTATATATACGCTATATAACCAATTTATATTATAAGTTGCCAACATGTGTGACATGTGACCAACTTATTGCCTAAGTTATTAATCTATCAATCAACTACAAACATATATAAAGTCAAATCTGCATCTATAAAGCTTCTAAAAAGCCTCGCTATAAGATATTATCAAATCTACATGTATTTACCTTCTACCTAATACAACTTATCTAGATAAATATGTATGTCTATAATACTTATTCCTTTATCTAATTCTTCAATATAATTTTACATGTGTGTTTACTATAATGATTTGTTGCTTATAAATCTCAAGTTTTCACAATCAATGTGCTACTATTGCTAGGAAGTATGTCATCTATAGGCAACTTTACTTTGGCATATTAAAGACAATACCGTAAGGTAATTAGTTTCTTTTCTATTTAAGAAAATAAAATATAGATGTGGTATATTATATTTAATACAAAAAGCCATAAACGACATAGTAAGGTTGTCTAAAATATACTATTGGACTTCTTCAATGGTATTAGAATCTTCTACTTTTTAAATTTATATCTAATATATACAAAATGTAGACCAATCCATTTCTCCAAAATCACAAAATTCAAATATTGTAGAATAAGTGTAGGTTCAATTTATGTGTTTTTAGACACTGTTTAAAGACTATGCCAAAATTTGCTAGATGCCTTTATAGAATTGGTCTGCTTCATACCTTACCTTTGGTTTTGTTTTGCACAGTGTTGTAGAACTTGACATAAGTAGAAATTAAAAATATTAAAAAAACTGTGTTAGAAAGATATGGCTGAATGATAGAAACTACAAGGTTTGCATATTTAGATATGGTGTATGGAGCTATAGAAGAATAGAGCTAAGCGTAGAGGTAGATGGTGAAAAGTTTGAATGTTGCTAAAGATAATTAGAATTGTATAAAAGATAGCCTTAAATTTTATTCTAATTTGTTAGCTAATCTAAACTTATGTTTTTTTTTTTTTATTGCTAAAATTATATAACATTCTAAGTTTGAACTAACTAGATTTATATTTTATAATAAAAATCTTCCTAATAAAGAATTTTTTAATTATAGTGATTAATTTCTTGGTATATGAAAGTAACTTATTGAGTCTTCAAATTTGTATCTTTTTTATTTCTATAGTTTAATTACAACAACTTTATGCAACAATGATGTCTCACTCTCTCAAATTCATCTTAAATCAGTAGATAATTAACTTTTAATTGACTTCAATAAGAATATGAGTTCTTTAATTGTGTTTTAATTATGTAGTTAGTAAAAATAATTAGTGGCTATAACTTTCATTACAGGAGATTGGTTTTTCAAAGCATTTAGAGGCCACATTTATTACATTGGTGGATTTTATATTGCCAATTTCAGTATATGAATATGACTAAATTGTATTTTTTTTCTATACTAAAATACCCTTATCATAGTATTATTCATCTTAAATTAAACCAATATTCATTTCTTTCAATATTCAGTACTAATGATTGTATGTATTGGTAGATCATGTTTTAAACTAAGTTACATACGACCATGATTCTAACCAAACGAACCACCAAATGATTCAAGTATAAATAGCCTTGTTTGTATTTTTTACAAAAAGTATTAAGGTTTTTACTTCTTAAAAGCTACTTTTCATCTGCATGTTCAAAAAAGTTGAAAAAAAAAACATTACAAAATATAGTTGAAAAAAGACTTTGATATTAAAATAAAAATATTGCTTGTTGATATTGACATAGAGATTATATTTCGATGCTAAAATCTGTTAATATTATCTAAACAATTTTCAATAAAATTAAGATATATGCATTGAAACCTAGCTTAAATCAACTTATCAAAGTTCTGAATGTTATGAACTCATGAAAGCCTTGCAAGTGATGAATCATCAAATGTAAAAGAGGCAAAAAATTCAGATAAAATGGATGTTTATCTACACATGAGTTTCTAAATCAAGTGGGTGTCAATCGTAAAGAGTTGAACCGGAAAAAGCAACAAGCACCCAGCACATGCATCGAGTGCCAGCAAGGTTCACAATTCATGAACTGCTACGAAAGTGATAAATCGGGAAGAATCTAGAAGACTTAGAACAGAAGTGATTTCTATGTGTAGAAGTGGAAATTGGCTGCTTCAGTCATCAAGGATCGGAAACCACCGATGGTCGACACAAACATCAACACCACGCCGAATACGATCACCGCCTGTGCACATTCACTCCCACGCAACCCAGTCATCCAATGCTCCGAGTACTGGAAGGAACTGTCTCACATTCTTACAATCTAGAAGCTTACAATCCTTTGACTGAATGTACAAGAACGAGGTGGTTTTTGTAAGTACCCAGTTTGTGATCCATGACCAGCTCATGGGACTCGGCCGGTATATCATTAGCCACATGATGGAAGGCAACTGCAGATTAGGTCCAGGTGATGTTAGCGTTGGAGATGAAAGCAACAGAGGTGAACTAACAAGAGCGGAATAGTGCAACGGCAACTTACAAAGTACGTGGTCGGTGAGAATGCAAATCCTCCGAAGAAGCCCAGCAAAGCAGCAAAAAACGGGAACGTCATAGCGACGAACATGGTGAAGCTGACGTAGAGAGAGCGGGTGACGAGTCGAAGAAGCATCGACGGATTGAAACGCAAGTGCCCCACCAGGGTTGATTCCAGCATGTCGTAAACTGGCATGGCATAGATCTAGCAAAGACATCGGCATTTCAGTCCAACTCGGAAGACCACCAGCTGAATCTAGGATGTTGTGTCATGGTGGCGGCATTGGAATACGTTACGACGAGGTTTTGAAATTTGAGTGAAGAAGATTAGTTGATCACCTGGTAGCTTCCGATCACATGGACGACCACCATCAAATTGGCGATGACCACTAACCAGGTTGGCCGTGAGACGAAGGTGATGATATCGTCCGTCACTTGGTTACCGTAAGCCCAATACCCAATCAACGCAACAGGGAAATAGCCGATTGCCACAACTCCGTAAGCAAATTTGACCCCTCGCCACATGGCGATCTTGGATGGCTCGTGTGGAGTGGAAGGCAACGTGGATTGAATCTCCAATACCACGTTGTGCCCTGCATAGGCAAATGCGATTGTTCCGAGGGCAGTGAAAGCTCCGAACCACCGGTCTGCTGTTGACAAATCTTCTGGAGCCTTTTGTACAGCGGAACCTCCCGCTTGCACCAGCTGGACAGGTTTGAACGGCGGGAAGTCGTAGCTTACCGGCTGCAGTAGCTCGATGTTGCCGGGGAGAGTGTGGCCATAGTGAGCAGGAATGGCCCAGGCTATGGTGGAGTAGCTGATGGACATGATGGCGGCAGCTAACGAGATGGCAGCTATGGAGTTGAAGTTGGGCAGCTGGGCTAGCACAAGCTGCACGATGGCGAAGAGGAAGATCCAGAAGACAATGCTGTCCTGCAACTGGCAGTGGTCGCCGCAGGTGATGGAGTAAGCGTGTTGCAGAGATTTTCCTGCGGTCACCATGTAAACGATGTCCACACCTACCTCGACTACTAATTGCATCGGGACCACGATCCATAGCCCCAATTTGGGACCGAATGCTTCCTGGCCTAGTTCATGATATCTATCAAACCGCCTACCCGGGACAGCTTCGTGCATTTCCACCATCTGCCAGAGAGTGAAGAGGGTGATGATCCATGACAGAATGAGCATTAGGATACCTGGACCCCTACAAGAACGCCCACATCATTATCAAAATGTTGGAGAAAACGGTGGCAGAGCAAGCGAGGAAATAAGAGAACGCGACAGGAATTGCTTTCAAATATAGTGAAGTTAATACCATGTGAGGTAGACCATGGCATTGGGCAAAGCGAGAACACCCGCTCCCATCATGGCCGTCACGTTGTGGAAAGCCGCATGCTTCCAGTTGGCGCTGCGGTCTGCCGCAGTGATGGGTAGCCATGATTCCAAATCAATCAAGCGATCACCGCTGACGCCCTTCAGATTTCGTAACCCCAGCCACCACACCCACCACAAGGTCCCCAATTACTAATTACTAGTGTGAAATGTATACCTTGAACACAGTTTGGAAGGACATCAGCAAGTCAGGTCCATGGTGTGAGCATTACACTCAGTGGGAATTTTCTTGTGAGAACAGGGTGGTTTAACTTACTCGTTGTGGAGGTGCCAAGAGAAGGGAGGATTGCTGCAAGTAAAACCACCAATAAGCACGACATTGTCAATATTTCTCCAACGAAACGATCGTGTCAACCAGAATGTTCTGAATATACTAATATGAAGTTGTCGTGCAGGAAGACCTAGACAACCTGAATCATCATACCATACAACAAAAAAGTGTCCTAATTTTTGAAGGAAGTGAGCGCGGCACTCCATGGTTATTGTTTCTACAGACGGCGGAAGAGGAGAATCGAACTTTAGAAACCTTCAGTTCACTAGTACGACAATTCTCGTGCGAAAGACAAAAACATAAATTTTTTCCAGTTGCAAGAGAAGAGCATCTTGGATCTTGGAATTCCTAAACAAGATCTGTGCCGGAGACTAATAGACGTCGAAAATTGTAGCTCGCGCAGTAACGCGCACGTTTCATTCAGGTTCTCAAAAAATTTTATTTGCCGTCGAATCCAGAAGAGATCAGACGAAGTTCCAGATGTTAAGTCCTACGGTTAGTTCCACTAGATTTTTCTTAAGCTGAGGGATCCGACAATGCGATCGAAATGCGATTTTGGATCTGAGTTTTTCCTAAAACCCCAGCATTCTGGATCTAAAAAACAAACACCCGGTGAAGAAACCTTCCAAACATTGATTCAATGTGCGCCATCAAAACTACCGCCTACCTTCTGGAGCTCGATATGGTAAGTATCGAGCGGCACATCCATTCTTCCTCACGTGTTCGCTCAATCTCTCTCTTTCTATGCTGCCAGTGACCTTGAAACTCTGCCGACAATCGACCCCTGTTCTCCCACCAGCGCCGCCCTGGTTCAACTGACAACCAGATTCCTCATCCTCCTATTCTACGATTACACAAAAGCCAATAGAATATCTGATACTGTGTCTCCAAAAACAAAGTTGTGGGAAAAAGGATCTCTGAGCAACAGGAGATGCAATTGACCAATACTCTTAGGTCTTGCACGGGCGGAAACAAATAAAGCTTCCCTAATCAGCAGAACCAAATGCCGCACTAGTCTCTCTAGACCAGGCGGAGTATTGCTGAAGAGTGCGATGATTTAAGAATTGATACTCGACAGTGCTTATCACCTTCAGCAACGAGATTGGCGATGTGATTGCGGTCGTTGACTTTACGCGTGAACTAAAGGCTTCTGCAACCTGAAACGTGGGCTCAGTTTCCTACGCCACCGGAGTCTCAGGCTTTGAATATAGCTTCCTCTCAGTTTTCGGCAATAGCTAACTCGCACCGCCATGTCCGTTGCGTAGTGAAGCTTGGTGAGCTTTCCTGCTGCTCTCAGCACGAGTGCTCTGCGCTAAAATTGGGTTTATTTAAGCTTCTAATGGTTTGACCTATTATATTATATTTTATGTCTTAGTATATTGTGTCGATAGTGATCGTTTAACATTTCTTGTCATATCTGTGAACTAGCTTTGGATTTGAGGGTCTTTGAGATGCTTGACAGAATTGGCGACAGCTGCAGTTTAAATTTGGCTTCATAAGATGGAGAGATTGAGCATGAGGGAATAATGCTGAGACTTTGGATTTACATTGTCTTACACGACCGTTGTTCATGGTGCAGGTTAGTGAGTGTCTCCAGTGAGATTACGGCTTTATCTGGATCCTCCGCATCTACATAGAGTTTTCTGAGATCTTCTGGGTTGGCATTTGTTCCCTTCTTATTGAAGGTGTCACCTTTTCAACATCATGTTGCCTCAATTTCTTGTGATCAACACCGTCACCTGCGTTGAGTTGGTTCTTGCTGACCGGATCATGAACAGGATCCTGACTAGGAGAAGGGCTACATTAGAGATACGTCCTTCTGAAAGGTTTTGAAAAGCTGACAATTATCGTCTCGGATTGATTGTTCACTGTCTCCTGGAGTTGGAGTTTCGACAAGGCATGAGCGCATTTGGACTTCGACGCATTACATCGCAGGTTGTGATGATGCCCTGGCTATTGCTTTCTGCTGTTGCCATACACCTCGCGTATTTCTGTATCGGTGCGACGACGTTTCGTTGGGAAGACTTTGAAGTCTTTGTTTGGGAAGCGAGAGCTGTGGCATGAGCTGGGAATCTAGCGGTGCACGTATTGTGAGTTGGCGGTGGATGTGACATCACCGAGTAAGCGAAGAGGACATGTTGGCTGCACGTCTCTGACAGCATATCAGTAGCTACTGGTCTTTGACAGTACACGGAGCCGGAGTACCGTACAGGTCGGACATGTCTCGACATTGATTGTGGTGATCATAGTGGTGTTTTGGAGTGGCGCTTTCTTTAGACATCAGTCAACACAGTGGCTTCTAGAGACTTCGGGGAATGAAGTTGAAAGGATCCAAAACTAGGCTGATTACGCTCTGATATTTCTCTTCAACTGGAATCCAGTGTTCACTCTCCTCGACGGGTTAGCATCATGTCTACACTTGTATCGATTAGGCCAAAAAGTAATCATATGAGCAGTGCATACTAATGGGAAATGATGCCGACATCAACAGAACCTAATCAAATCATTCTTATTGGCAGTAAGGACCTATAATTCTGACCTGCACTGTGAAAAATAGAAGAGGACACTTAGGTGTTTCCACCTTAGCTCACACTGTAAATCTAAAGGAGAGAGAAATTCTCTTTGTATATTCGTAAGAATCAGAAAATACACACACGGCACATCTTCTGTGCGCGGGTTTAAAGCACTGGTCGTAACAACTTTAGTTAGTTCTGTTAAGCATTGCAATCATTTACTGAACAGTGATTTGTTTTGTGTCTAAACACATGAGCAACCCTGTCTGGTTGTCGAGCATCTGTTCTAGCTGGATCTGCCTTGTCATTTGTGGAGCTTTTCAACTCCCTCCCTCAGTTCGGTAGTATCTAACACTGGCAGGCTGAAATGTTAGGAGGTCAAACGCTTGAGTTCTGAGTTTGATGGCGGGTAGTGGTAATAACCCAATGGATTGTCGAAGCAGCCAGAATCGGTCAAGGTGCAGTGCTTTTGTCAACAGATCCGCTAGCTTGTCCGTTGTAGGTACATACTGGATGTTTATTTCGCCATGGTTTTGGTGTTCTCAAATAAAAGGGTACGCATCGTCCCTATGTTTTGTTCGTCGGTGGAACTCTGGGTTGTGTACCAGACGGATAGCGCTCTAGCTATCAAAAAACAAACGTGTTGCCTGGGTGGTTTGAACCACAAGTTTGTGAGAAGTCAACGGTGCCAGATGATGTCTTTCGTAGATGAGGCAGCCGCGATATACTCGGATTTGGTGGTGGAGGTGGCCACATAGTTTTGTTCCCAGCCATACCAGTGGATGGGGGTGCCATTTAGCAGCAATAGAGTACTGGTGCGGGACTTTTGGTTGGTAATATTGCCTGCGTAATCAGCATCGCCGTAACCTTTGAGCAGCAAGAAATCAGTGCCATTGGCAAAGCACAGGGCGAGGTGCATAGTTCCCGCGAGGTAGCGAAAGTTGCGAGTAATGGCTTAATAATGTTGGCGCTGAGGGTTCGCCAAAAATTGTGCGATCACGCTAACCGCGTAGCTGATGTCAGGGCGGCCAAGGGTCTGGACATAGAGCAGACACCCAACAGCGGCAGTGTAAGAAAAGGAAGGTTAGAATTCTTTGGCGTTGTCATCCAACTTGGTATTAGGGCCGCCGAGTGTGCTTAGAGGGATACAGTCCCCAAATCTGAATTGGGCTAAGGTTTGACATAGGTACATGGTCTGGTGGATGATGATATCTCCCTCTGCTTTTAATCGAAGGATGTGTAGCCCCACATCTTAGTCCTCGTTAGAGCGAGTAATGGCAAAATGCTCCTCCATGTAGAGGACGAGTGCTTCAAGGCGCGCCGGTGAAGAACAAGCGGCAATCCCATCATCCACAAACAGCATGATGATGAGGCAGGGCTCGGTTTTTGAAATATAAACACATGGATCGGCCTCGGTGGACTCTAGATCGAGTCTCATGAGAAAATCATGAAACGTCTGGTTCCAGATTCGCCCTGACTGTTTCAACCCATACAAGCTTTTGAGAAGTTGAAAAACTCTTGGTGGGTGCTGGCTTCCGACTTCAAAACTCGGGGGCTGCTGCATATATATTTCGGTGTCAAGAGAGCCGTGGAGAAATGCGGATTGTATGTCGAACTGTACCATACTCATGTATTGTTGCACAGCAATAGCAAGCACGGTGCGGATTGATTCATATTTCACCACTGGGCTGAAAGTCCAGTCGTAATCGATTCCGTGCTGCTGAGTGTATCTCTTTGCAACAAGTCGCGATTTGAATTTCACGATGGATCCATCCAAGTTTGTCATCTTTTGGTACACCCACTTGCATCTCACAGGTTTGCGATCAGAAGGGAGCGGCATTAGCCGGCAAGTGTTGTTTTGGAGGAGAGAATTGTATTCCGCCTCCATGGCAGAACGCCACTGATCTGCCTTTGGACTAGCGTGGGCCTCTTTGTAGGTGCTCGGGTCATTTGGAATGTGACTGCTGGATACAATGCCGGCAAAGGAGTCCGGGACAATGTAGTCCCGTAGATGGGCTGGAGCACTGCGGATATTAGAGGGCTGCGGTGCTCGCTGTGGTTATGGTAAAGTCTCCGTCTCTTGCGATGGGTGCTCCATGCTGATGCCCCAAACTTGGGCAAGCAATGGAGGTGGTGAGCATATGTGCTGCTCACTGCTGGGTTTGGTTGGTTCTTCAGAGATTTGATCGTCTGCAGTTTTGTCAACGTTACGGTAAACTGGATCTGCGGTACTTGCATCTTGGGGAGCAGTGGGTGTATCTTGGAATGGAAACAAGCCGGAAAATACTTTGGGAGTGGTTGTCTCAAGAATTGAATACCTGCCGAAGATCACGTTGCCGCTTATGATCAGTCAATGTCGCTGTATATCTCAAAGCCAATAAGCCTATGTGTTAGTGCAGTACCCCACGAAGATTGTTGTAGAACTCTTGGGTGTTTCCACCTTAGAGCACACTGTTGATCTAAAAGAGAGAGAAATTCTCTTTATATATTTGTAAGGATCAAAAAATACACACACGGTACATCTTCTGTGCGCGGGTTTAAAGCACTGGTTGTAACGACTTTAGTTGGTTCTGTTAAACATTGTAATCATTTACTAAACAATGGCTTGTTTTGCGTCTAAACACTTGAGCAACTCTATTTGGTTGTCGAGCATGTGTCTTAGCTGGATTTGCATTAGTTGTGGCAAACTAAAGAAATCACTTCGGGTAATACAAACTTAGAATATCCGGCACTGATAGCTCACAAGCAAGCCGCAACTCTTCCTCAACCAAAATTGGACCCAAAAAAATTAAGCTAAAGCTCTTGCTCACAAAAGCAGGGCTCTGAGGTTGATAGACTACATGCCTGCTTTACGGCCCTGGAACACCTTGAGTGTACAGCCTCGATTTGCTCAATTGTTAAGTTATGGTTATGTACATGTAACAATCTGTACATGTAACTTTCATACATGTTTCGTTGGGAAGTCACAACCTGCTAACAAGCATCCAAGTATACAATCATCAACATCCCGGTTGGAATTGTGGATGCCCAATTACACCAAATAGAACCACCTGCAATAAAACACGACTAACTTTGCATCCATCGATACACAACAAGAGCCTCAACATGCCAGTCAAGCACATGAATAACAACCCTAGCATATACAAAAAA